TAATCTTGCTTGATTTTTTTGTCGAAAATTTCATAGTTCAAAACTCAACGTTATTTCTTTTTCCTATCTAGAGTGGTAGAAAATGTTCAACAGAATCGTGCTCCTATGACAAAAATAATTGAATGACCTCCACGATCACCAGATTTGATGCTTTTTTTTTTCTTTGTTTTATTTCTTGATTATTTTATTTCATTTGTTTTATTGTATTTTCATTTCACGTTTTATTGTGTTTTTTTCAGCTGATAACGCTCGGAAACTGTAGGTCCTACAAGGACGGTTAAATGCAACAAAAGTTGCCTTTTTGAGAATACAACATAATGGTATTCTCAGATCGATAAAATCACCAAACGTTTTTAAGATATGTGCAAAAAATTGAAAATGATAAACTTTTTGCTTCATGTGATGTTTTCTATAATCTAATCCAACCCATTTTCCAATATTGAAATCCATCATCAACATATTTATTTAATTACGGACCTGTATATTTTTTATAGATCTTGGTAGTCATTGTAATCACAGATTCATTGATATATTACAACATATGAATTTCTCGACGTTTCTCCCGAAAACNTGTACGTACCGTTGTATTGGAGGAAAATATTTTGGAAGCCGTCGCTGATGATCCTTCAATGAGCATCAGAAATCTATCAGAACAGTTCCATACATCCAAGTCCACTATTCATAGAATAATTAGGGAACAACTGCTCCACCCATTTCACATCCAGAAGGTACATGCCATGACACCTCAAGATTTTCCAGCACGACTGGAATATGCCAATTGGTTCATGGATAGGCAAAGAGATTCTATGCCAAGTTACAGATGAAGTAACTTGGCTTGAAATCTCTTAATTTTTTCTTTTTTTTTAATTTTTTTGTTCAATTTTTCTATTTTTACTTGTATTTTATTTCACTGTAATATCATTTCAGCGTTTTTTTGCTTGATGTAATTGAGCTATTGTTTTCAATTTTTCATTTGTATTGTTTCTTACTTATTCAATTCAATCCTGATTGGCGAAGATTCTACCAGTAAAAAAGTAATTGAAGTGCTTGAAAAATGTTAGTCGATTGGCGATGGGTCTGGGGAGTATGGTGTGTGGGGCAGAACTTCGACGCTCGATTCGTTTGATTTTTGGACGGTGACTTGTGAAAAGTGCGGGTGGACGTTGTCCTTGAACAAAATCGGACCAGTATAATGGGGCTCTATCATATTCATGATGATAATTTGATAGGAGATAAACGTTAACTTCATTAGAGGAAAAGGTCATGCATTTTGGACGTGTGAAGAAAATGCTTATTTGACATGATGGGGTTTAGCGTTTTTTAGCTCCATACTAGTGGGTTTGAGTCTTTGCAGCGAGGTGAATGACAACGAGACAAAGTTTCAACTAACTTTATTAGGTTTTTTCCTGTCCTGCGACAATGACACAAGTGCGTTCCAAAGTCATCACTATTACCAGTTATACTTGGTCTTAATTACTATTTCAACTGAATTACTTCACATGACATTCAAACTCCTTATTTAAGAATGATATTTTACTGGAATATTTATGTATTGAATCATTGAATCTAAGATATAAGCAATGCACTTCGTTCAAAAATCACTCTAATCAGTCAAAGACCGGAGTGTTCCTACTATCTTATTCTCTAGATGAAATATAGATGAATCCTCGAATGAATTCGTCTTATCTTAATATAAAATGGGATAAACCATATATCTGTTAATAGCACATTGGCTTTTGTTGCGGACTAATCTGATGTACCCGTTTTCTCCAAAAGAGGGTCCATAAGAATTCTTGATCAACCAATAATCCGTTCCATTCTCACTTCCATATCCAACAACCAGAACATCCCATGTCTATTAATTTTTTTTTCTCCAGATGGCGCCCAGTCGCCATCTTGAAAGTTCCATCTGTCAATTTCACTTCAAAATACAGTATTCATGCATCAATTTCATTATCCCAAATTTCAATTTTTTGAGTTGACCCGTTCAAAAAATAAAAGGGGGGGAGGACATTAAAGAAAAACACTGTATCTCTCCTCGATAGTTTTTAGACACGATTTGATCTAGTGAAACCTGTTCAAACAAATAGCGAATATGGACCACTTTCAAGACTTTTGAGCTTCCAAGTCAGATAGCCTTATAATGAAACAGTAGAATTGAAACAAAAAAACATAACCCTCTAATCTGGTGCTCTCCAGAGCTGCATCAGATTATTTCCCATAGTAACATATGAATTGGTGATACCAATTGTTACCTTCAATAAAATTGGAACGTGACTAACAAGTGAAATAACGGATTCAACCGATAACCAAAACAACGATAAGATGTTTATTCTCGTCTGATTAGAATCAAATAGCTTCATGGAACAGTTGGCAAAATTGAAGAAGAAAATGAAAACAAAATTGGTACAAAAACATTGTTAATGAAATGAGAAGTCTGGTTTCAAAAACAAGATATGACGTATTCATCAAATTATTCAGTTAAAAGTTGAAAAAGACTAATGATTTGAAAGGTAAACTATATTCCAATTACAGGTTCAATAAATGTACACGAAAGCAAGCGAATGTATTTTATACCAGGGCCGCACTGAGGACATGATATTATTGCATGGCAATTTCAATATATTTGAATTAGGAATTTCTGAAATATAAATTTGCAATAACTCAATACTAACGGATATTGGAATAAAATATATTAAAAATATTATCAATGTGACACAATATACTATACTGCAAGTGTGACCTTGGTTACATCTAACTAGATAAAGGTTACATAAAGAGCCGTAACAACACCAAGATCGTAGGGGTGTTCATTGATAATAATTTGAAATTTGAAGAACATGCAATGAACTTAAATTAAAAACTGGCCTGAATATCAAAGCCTGAATATCAACTGTTTTAGATGTCCCCATACAATATACTTAAATTTATTTTCAGAGTATTATTTCATAAGCCGAATAGATACCAAAATTGTAAAATATACATAGAAACAGAAATAGTTTCATTTATCACTAATATATTCACAAATACACAATTACAACATGAAATACATGAGAAAACTTATTGGACTAGTCAAAAAAGTAAAACGCTAAAAGCTAAATACAAATGTTTGATCTTGAATAAATTTAAAAAACAAGACTACATTTATGAAAGAAACTATATCATTTATCTAAGCACTGAAAGCAAGAAATTCATCCATACTGTAGAAGCAGTTATCCAACATGAAACCATATAGTTCATTCCTCATTGCAGTTCTCCTTTTTTTTCTGATTTGATTCGGCCGTTACTTGATGAAGATCCATAGTAATTGAAAAACTAAACAAAGTTTGTGGACATCAAATCGTGAGGTGTAGTTTTTGAAAAGTTCTACTACTTTTATTGATCCCTATAGAAGTTGCTATTTTATTGAAGCGTTCAATACCCAAGTATTTTGGGGAAATCTCACTTACACTCAAGCGAGAGTAGGGGTGTTATAAAGTATCTTTACCCTGAGTAGCGTAATTATGTATATCAGAGTTTTTTGTATATAGGTGTTTATTATCATAGATGAATAACACTAGCTGTAAAATGTTACCCCAGAAGATCAGTCCATACTATAGCCTTGATTGTACCAGTCCATGATATATGAGTTTCATAACTTCTGTAGAGACAGTGTCTCGCAGATTCCGAATTGCGTAGTTTGCACTGTCAACTTTTACACAAACTGTCGATATGTGCCTCCCATGTTAGTTTTTGATTCAGAAGTATAACGAAAGTAGATAAATGTAAAAAATATAAAATGATTATAATTTACCTTTTTATCCCGTTGAAAAACCATCAAAAATGACCGTCTCAAAGACAGAATTATCAACCTAAATTCTTGGTTTGGTATGTTTTTTCAATACTCTCTTTTCCATTGAACTATTTCATTTCTTTCTAAAAGCAAGCTACTTCTTCCTCTTTCGATATTTATCATTTAATGTTTTCAATAATCTATGAGTACAATGGGGAATTTCCTTAATTTGGGTTATTACAGCAAATGCAAATTTGAACAAAATGAAGTTTCATGAGTTTTTCAAATTCACTTCGAAAAGTATTGAAATTGATGTTTCAAATGTTGGGTTTTAATTTCTAAAGGGATTTGTTTCTAATTCACATATTGGAAATAGCGCCTATACCAAGTTAAAATAATTTATACGTACCTAGACATTCTACTTTAAAAAAGGAAAATTATCTTTATAAAT